TCTGGGGCAATACACAGTCCAAAATCTGTGAGGGCAGATGTAAGGTCTTTTAATAATTCCATTGATATGTGCTTCGCAGCCACAAGGATATCAATTGGGTGGAGGCTTTGACAGGCTGGCGCTTCTCCCCCGACACCCAAAACCTGCGCAGCTGCCTTTGTGGGCCATTCGGGAGGCCAGTCTTGTTTAGCAATCACAGTAACATCTGCCCCTGTATCCAGAACCCCCCTCTACCTCACGTCCACCCAGTGTCATTTTTAAGGTAGGGCGCTGAGCTGTGAGAGGCATTGCAGCAGCAATTAAGGGGGTATCTGTAGGAGTTGTGGCATCCGCAGGGAGCAGTATGACTTTAGCCACTGGCGTGCCAGATGAAAAACCTAAGAGGGGGGCTGCTTGCTTTTTAATTGCAGTCCCCAGTGGCGTCGGTGGAGGCTGATAATCTGGTGGTCGTGGCGGAGTAAAAGGTGGTGGTAGAAGCGGTGCAGCCGGATATATGAAAGGCATATTCAGGACTGTTTTTTGTTGTGGTTGCAACGAAGCCAAGAGGATGTTTTTGGGCGTAGGAGTTGCCATGCAGCCACGGACTTTAGCCCAGGCACTAAGGACGTGAAGGTTTATGCGGCCATGGCCATGAAAGTGGTCGCCAATTCTGTTCCAGGCTGGAATTTCCCATGTCCCGTCCTCAGGGAACCATGGACAATGTTCATCTATGGCCAGAATCAATGCAATTAGATCACCTTCAGGTACTTGCTGTTTATTTTCCCGAAGGAGGTGCTGCATGTCTTTTAAAAATTGTTTCTGAGGGTTGGAGAGCGCAGAACCCATGATAAAAATAGAAAAATAGCTACTCACCGGGGATCCGAAGATGAGAAGGCGCCTTGAGCCACAGCCTGGCGGGTGAGTAGCAGGGAGGACCGTCTTTGACAGCACGCGTCCTGGAAGCCGTTCAGGCAATCACACGGGGCACCATTTGTCGGGGAACCAGCCCACCAGGTGCGGAGGAAAATGACGAAGAGTCATGGGTGAAGGTTTAAGCAAGGAGTGAGCTCTCTCTCCCAGCAGCCTTGCATGTTTATTAGCCTTGCGCACATTACATCATGTTGCATATACACGTGTAGCACTCGGGTGGAAAACAGCTAGGGTTTGCATTTCTTAGAATAACTATTCTCTACCAGGACATAACTCCAGACAGCATGACAGCCGCGTAAGCTTTGCGGTTAGGCAGCGCGACAGTGACCCAGGCGTGTGGGGGGAACAAGTCAGCAGATGTTTCCTCTTGCACAATCTTGCACAAGGGTGTATTTTTCTATTGCAGCCCCACAGATCAGAAGGTTGGTGGTTTGAATCCCCGTGACGGGGTGAGCTCCTGTTGCTCTGTCCCAGCTCCTGCCAACCTAGCAGTTCAAAAGCACACATGGTGCAAGGTACCGCTGTGGTGGGAGGGTAAATGGTCTTTCCATGCACTCTGGTTTCCGTCATGGTATTCCATTGCACCATAAGCTGTTTAGTCATGCTGGCCAAATAATAATAATAATAATTATTATTATTATTATTATTTATTATTTATACCCTGCCACTCTGAGCAGCTCCCAATTGAGTGTTAAAAACAATACAGCATTAAATATTAAAAACTTCCCTAAACATGACCCAGAAAGCTGCCTGTGGATAAATACTGGCTCCCTCGGCCTGAAAGCGAGAGGAGCGCTGCAACCCCATAGTCTCCTTTGACTGGACGTAACCATCCAGAGGTTCTTTACCTTTAGCTTTTATGTAGATGGACCCATGGTCTGATGCAGAGCCGTATATTTAAAAGCACATCCAGCATACACTTATTGGAGTGATCGTGTTGAACTTCCAAAAAACGTTTTACAAAAACTATAGTTCCCATGATTCTTTCGGGAAAGTCACACGTGCTTTCATTGTGTTTTGGATGTGCTTCACATGTATGGTGTATATCTGCACTCAGTAGATACATTAGATGGCAGTCACGTTTCTCAGTTTTCTCAGCCTCCCTCCCAACTCATCCAACAACTCCAGTTGTTCTTAAGTGCAAACTGTACTTCGACATGTCCTATGCTAATTAAACTGATATGCAAATTAAGTGGTGCTGTCATATACAAACAGGCCTGAAACTGGTGCTCTATTTGCAGTACAACCCTCATTCTTCAAAAAGTTACCTCACCCTACCTTGACCCCATTACAAGAGCAATTTTTAAAATATATACACACATGATGTGTGGAAATACAGGGTCGGTATTAATTTAGAATTTTAATGCCCCCCCTTTTTTTCATCTCCCAGTAAACAGCTCTGCAAAAGCAATATAAAATGCTTCCAGCTGGGTAATTGTGAAGAATAATACACTGTATATATATAAAAAAAACCTGACAAAGACAAAATGCACCATAAAGTCTAGGACTGCTAGACAGCACTTTGAAGTAGTTTAATCAAAAAGATGGTTATTTGGTTTAAATGAGAATGATAAATTATTTAATGGATTGGGACCCATTAGCAAGTGCCTCATACCTGCAAATATTTCTTTAACTCGGAAGACAGATCAGAGAAGGAGGGAAGAGAGAGATACTGAAAAGTAGGTCATGCGGCCCTTCGAAAAGGGGAAAGCATCATATGGGCGAGATGTGCTAACGTTTCATTTTATGATTCCAGCAACTATTGATTGCTTTATTAAAAGGTGATTGTCTAAGCACCTGTGAATAATATACTAAGACATTTCTTACCTATTTGGCTCCATACAAGGACAGTTCAAGATAATGAAGTACATATACATACACCTTAGAGTCAGCGCTTAATTAATTATTAATTATTTGATTTTTTGCAATCTCATGATAAAAGACACAAGTACAGTACATCACTCCCATATGTACTTTTAGGTAGAATTGTGACACACTCTGACTGCTAATAAGGCAGGAACCAGACTGTTCAGGGTTGCTAATCCCATGTTCCAATATTTTATTGAGACTTGTTTTTCAAAGAAGACTCGGGAAAGAACAATTGTCCCTTTTGCTTGCCATGAAGTAAGGTAGCTGGAGTGTTAAGACGTGGGGCTAGTTTTTTGTACAATGATCTGAGTTGCTAACTTTTGACCTGGCCCAATATCCATCCTTACATTCTTTGTAAGGTTAACAGCCAATAATGTTTGTCTTTGTTTCTTCATAGAGGCACAAGATCAGGAAGACTTTTATCCTGATTAGTTGTCAACTAGGAATTTGGGAGAAATTCAATTTAGTCCATGCTTAAAGGCAAAGCTACCTATTTTCAATTTCGATACGCAAACCAAATCAGTCATCCTTCAAAATTCACATGTCTCCAAATTTCTATTCTATGATTCTATGATTCTATTCTATGATTCTATGCAATGCAGTTCTCCAGCCATATAATGCATATAATAAAGTGTACATTAAAATGCATATTATTAGTTTAACAACAACAACAACATGCATTATATTAGGGAAAGCCGCTTTGCAAAAATGTGCATACTGGCCAAAATTGTATACAAAAAAATGTATATTAGGAGAAATTTGCATTAAAATGCTGGATTTTCATGAGAACCTTTTAAAGATAAATTTCAAACTGAAGTGGAAATATGATGTTGAGAATCAACTAAGGCAGTGCAATAGGTCCCACTAGTGCAACAGGACTTTCCTCCATGTTCCCCAGTGCCTCTCAATATCTGCTCAAGAGGATCAGGTGAACCCCCAGAAGAATGTGGATGGGGGAGGGAGAGAAGGAAGACCCTTCCATCTGGCAAACAGAAATGCTTGCACTGGTGGAAGCATCTCCTTAGCACAACATTGAATTCTACCCGAAGAACTGGTAAGTTCAGGAAATCAGAAACGCATAGAAATTAACATATTAGTGTTGTTGTCCACCCTTGTTGGCAACACTCATTAGTTTTAAGTGCTTCATTTACTTCTAGGAAACTTCATTTACTTCTAGGAAACCTCTTAAGCAAGAGGTTATCTCTTAAGCAACAGTGGCTAGAGATAGCTAGAACAAGGGTGGGGAACTTGTGGTTGTTGGACTCCAGCAACCATCATCCTTCTCCATTAGACTGCGGCTGAAGAGAGTTGGGAGTCCAGCAGCTTCTTGAGAGCCACAAGTTCCCCATCCCTGAACTAGAAGAAAAATACATTTTCCACAGTAACTGCATCCTATTACTGGTGTAACATGCAGACAGACAGCAGCTATCCTGAGGTTAAACTGACTTAATTCCTGGATAGTAGTGTATACCCCAAGTCATACTCAAAACCTTAGGACAGGCAATCTTAAATATGATCATTCAGAAGTAACACACATTAACTGTTTTCCCGGGATATATTCTTTAATGCTTAGGACTTGAGCTAGTAGCTGAATTCTGGATGTGTATACCCAAAAGTAAACCTTACTGGGTTGAATTCCAGGCAAGAGCCATAATTTTAATGATCCAAAATATTGGATTGTGGACAATTTTTTTTGAGTTACATTTTTAGAATCACCCCAACCTATTTTATGTAAGCCATATTGGATATTAACTTAATGGCAGTGTGCGATATAAACTGAAGCAAATCTAGGAACTTGCTTACCCATACATTTATTCACAAAACCCTCCCTCACTTGCTACAACTTCATGCTGTTAAAAGGCATTTTGGTCCTTGCATTGCTTCTCATTTTAGTCCTTCACTTCTTTTTGTTCTCTCATCTTTAATTAAAGCAGTTCATTGAAACAGAGTAAGAAATAGAGCTGTTTACTGATTAGTCAATTAACTATTCTGTTTATTAGCTGATTGATTATTCAGCTAATTAGCAAGAACAAAACCTTCCTGCTACTTCACTTGCCGTGCAGGAGAACTGCAGGAGGGGTGATGATGGTTCTGTGTTTGCTCCCCACCCCGTTAACCTTGTGCTGGTGCTTCCACTACATAGAAGCTTCTACAGGAGAAAGGCAGGTAGGACTGGTTTTATATCCACAAGGGAGCATTCCTTTAACTTTGATAGAGGAGGGACCATAGCTCAGTGGTAGAGCATCTGCCTTGCGTGCAAGAAGGTCCTAGATTCAAACCCTGCTAGGGCTAGGAAAGTATGAGAACCACTTCCAGCCCATGTAGACAGTACTGTGCTAGATGGACCAATGGTCTTGTTTGTTTAGTCGTTTAGTTGTGTCCGACTCTTTGTGACCCCATGGACCAGAGCATGCCAGGCACTCCTGTCTTCCACTGCCTCCCACAGTTTGGTCAAACTCATGCTGGTAGCTTCGAGAACACTGTCCAACCATCTCGACCTCTGTCATCCCCTTCTCCTTGTGCCCTCCATCTTTCCCAACATCGGGGTCTTTTCCAGGGAGTCTTCTCTTCTCATGAGGTGGCCAAAGTATTGGAGCCTCAGCTTCACGATGTGTCCTTCCAGTGAGCACTCAGGGCTGCTTTCCCTAAGAATGGAGAGGTTTGATCTTCTTGCAGTCCATGGGACTCTCCAGAGTCTCCTCCAGCACCATAATTCAAAAGCATCAATTCTTTGGCGATCAGCCTTCTTTATGGTCCAGCTCTCACTTCCATACATCACTACTGGGAAAACCATAGCTTTAACTATACAGACATTTGTTGGCAAGGTGATGTCTCTGCTTATAAAGCAGGCTTCCTCAACCTCGGCCCTCCAGATATTTTGAGACTCCAATTCCCATAATCCCTGACCACTGGTCCTGCTAGCTAGGGATCGTGGGAGTTGTAGGCCAAAAACATCTGGAGGGCTGAGGTTGAGGAAGCCTGGTATAAGGCAGCATTCTTGTTGTGTAAAGCAGGGTTGGAAAAACGCAGCTTCAGGGGCAAATGCAGCTCTGAAGGCCTCTCTGACTCTACCCAGGTGGCCACACCTCACAGTGGTTTCTCCTACTCTGTGTCTTCCTTGAATGCTAGCAGGTGGAACTGTGACAATGCATATTGTTTGCCTGAATGAAGGATGGAGAGATGTGGAATGGAAGTGTAAAAGCCACATCAATTACTCCATCCACTTTTTGCCTGTGGCCCAACACACTCTGGAAGGTTGCCTTTCAGGGAATGTGGCCCTCAGGATGAAAAGTCTCCCCACCCCGGTGCAAATTTTCTATATAAAAGAATTGAAGGGAAGAGGAGAAAATAATGGGCACTTCGGAATGAAAAGTAGCTAATATATTGACACCGGCTGTAAATTACAATAATTGCTTTGGCTATGATTATTCACTATGTAGTTTTATGTTTGGCCTGCAGCAAAAATGTATGGGCCCCAATATGATACAGCAAATTAAGGCAGTGGGGCGGGGGCAGGATTAGGAGACAAAGAACTCTTGATGATTGACTAGGATTTGCTGCAGCACCAAGGAGAGGGGGGGAATTGAATTTTCAGTTCTTCGGAGTTGAAAGATCAAATGCTCTTGGCCCTTGTGGGAATTCTCTTTTCGCCTGATTTTCTCATGTAAAGAAATTGATGTTATTACAATAAATAAACTGAATAGAAGCAGCTGGGTCAAGGCTTGGATTGACCCAAGGAGCCTCTGACATGTTAAAACTGTGGTTGCTTAGAAGAAGACTAGGAGCACTTTGTTATATAGAAAAAGAATAATGTTGCTATAATTAAGTGAAAAGCAATGCATATGCGTGTGTTTTTAGGGCCATAGAATTCTTCTCTGGAGAACTGTGAAGAGGGTACACCTGTAAGCAAAGCCACTGATTATGTATATATGGGATTAGATACTGGGTTTGCTTCACAGAATGAAAGAGTTAGAAGGAACCTGCCTGGTTAGGCAAATTTCTGAAATGAAAATGATCAGAAGTTCTTCCCAGTGGGACACAGATGCCAAATACATTTGGATAAACGCACACAAAGAAAGAGAGATTGAGATGCTTGTGTGCTGTGTGGTTTATTTATCCTTTGAGATTTCCCATCATAAAATGCGCGTAGATATGCGCAGCTCATGGTTTTTTTATGTACCAAAATGTTCCAGAAGGATTCTCAAGACTGAATGAGGTCTCCAGTGACCAGAGTCTGCATTTATCTTCTTTAAAAGACAAGTGGGGAAAACCTAGATAGAGCTGTCAAGCTGTTCTTTATCTACCAGGTCTCACAGACACAGTGTCTACTTTAACCCTGACAAGAAGGGTTTTTTTGGTTTGTCATCAAATTACTCCTAAAAACTGTGAATTTGTTTTTAGTTTTTTTAAAAAAAATAATTAAAACTTTCCAAGCACTCATTAGGAATAACAAGAACATCATGAGATGCTTGTACATGAATAAAAGTTAAAAATAACTCATTCCAAAGTACCCTAGGGAAAGCAATAAAACAATACACCTTAATACCTTATATCCAACAGACTCAGATTGTTTAATGAAGGCGTGACTCTCTTCCAGTGATTTTCCTTTATTAAACTAAAACGAAAAGCCTATCACCTTGAATGGAAAGAAACTCCTTTTATAACAAATATTGTCCTGCTGAAGAATAGTGTCCCTATTTGAAACTTCATCTACTTTCTCATAGTCAATGATTGGCTAGAAGATGATGCATAGATGAATTTTGTCTCTCGCCAATGTGTACTTTAACACAGAGATTTATCAATTAACTGGAATTAATCACTTGCTGTGATCACTTGGCTTTTTATCCACCAAAGGATGTTGTTCAGTTTGCTGGAGAGAAAAGGTCAAAAGCAGTTACTTTTCTTTAAATATATTTTTATTGATTTTCCAATATCGTTCCAATAACAGCCTTATTATAACAATACCAATTTTATCCAGTTAATACAATTATTAATGCCAATTATTCAAATGTCAAATTATACAATTTAATTAAACTGGCCCACTCACATGCTATAGTTGATGAGTTCAATCTTCTAAATTTTTTCTGCATGCCAGAATTTTAATAATTTCCATTACATTCCATGCAGATATAATAATCCCTTACATAACAGCTACAATCTTGTGATTTCAATTCGTGTTGGTATAATAGTGTAATTTATAAAGTTTCAAGTGAGGAACTTTAGCTATAATCCTTATCTTTCCTGCGAGTGACATTTTCCCCCATGATGTTTTCCCATCCATATATAGTGTTGTATCCTTTATTCCTGCAACTGTTGATGGTTCCCATCATGTCTCAGGAGAATCTCACAGTTTCCAAATGTCACTGCATCGCTTTGTCCCGTGATTTGGCTTCCAGTAAACAAGCCTTGTTCACCGATTTTCCAGCCTAGGAAGAATGGTCTGAAACCAGACTGCAGACTTCTATTCTCAAAGCTGGTAGACTCTTTTCCTCCCTGCCCATCATTTATGGCCATTTATCCTTATCTCAAACACATTCCTTTGTGGATAAAGGAGGTTAGGAAGGATTTTGCTCTATATTTTCAAAGCATAGCATTTTTCTCCCCGCCCCGTTCCCTCTCAGTTCCTTTCTCTCTCACACACAGTTCCAATTTTGTTAAATTCCATTTTATATTCCAATTTCCTCCATCTTCACTTGTGCATATATTTTTTTTAATAAAACTTGCATTCTACTGTATCATAAATGTAGAACAAAACTTTAAGTAAGCAAATTGTGGGCTCCCCTCTCCCCATTGTCTCTTTCACCAAATGAAATCTGCTCTCAATCCAAACCTTTTGCATCCTTGTAGCTGGGTTGTTTTTGCAGTTTCTTATCTCGTCGTCTCTGGCACACGCCTTTAGGTTACTCCAATTAAAGTCCAATTAACAGGATAACCTGTGCTTCCCGAAATGGGATGGTGGGGGTCATGGCAGCTGGAATGCTCCATGCATCCAGTGCCTTTGCCTGCCCTCTCATTCCATGGGGAAGCGAGTGCTAGACCGCCAGGCGAACTGCGGATGAGAGCCTGGTTCCTCTTCCAACCGAAGAGGAATGCAGATAATGAATTTTCCCCCATCATAATCTGATTGTCTCTGTTTGTCTCTCTCCCTAGGTGTTTGAAGAGACTCCATTCCTGGCACACAGGAAACAGGAAGCCCCAAAGCAGCTATTTTTCTTGGCTTATGATTATTTCCAACTTCCATGGCCAAGCAGCAGCTGATAGAAGAAATCTTAAAACCGGAGGGACAATAAATGACCTCTGAACAAGTATAGTGTTGCAGCAGGTACACCAGCAGAATTGTGCCCTTGGTCCTGCTCTCATAGACTGTGTGTATATGGTACACCAGTTGTTTTTTTCCTAGAGGGAGAAGCAGCAGTAAGGCAGCCCTGATTACTCATCATCTTGAACTGTTGGGGACCCTTCTCAACCAGCAACAAGGCCTTCGTAAGCACTGTTATCTTCTTCAGTTGGGTTTTTCCATGACAGATCACTTTTTTAAAAAAACAACAACAAACTACTACATCTCAGATTTTGATTAAAATTGCTGTACTGAATTATCTCACAGTTCAGTCACTGGTGTGAATAAAAAATTCCTATGCCTTATAGTTTTTAAGTTACTGTGACACTCCACCTTTACAACATTGGTGCTGCTGATTCTCAAACTTTAGGATTGTTGAAATATATACAACAACAAAAACCAATCAGTTTCAAGACTAGAGCCCTCTCAGTCCACAGATCCACTCCCCGTAATTTCTGTTCCAAATCTTACGTTACAATCCCATGCACACTTTCCTGAGAGTAAAGTTCAATGAACACAATGTGCAGAAGTGTGGATTTTAGCTGGTGACCTTTTGTACAACTATTTAAGTTGGAGGAACCCTGCCCTCTTTTGCACCTGGAGAACCTATGCCTATAACTTCCACAGTGAGGAGAATCTGCAAGGAACAGAAAGTATGGATCCAACCATTAGTCTACCTAGCTCATATTGTCTGCAGTGACTTGCAACAGTTCTCCAGGAGTCTTTTCCAGACATACCTGGGGGTGCTGGGGATTGAACCTGGGTCACTTTGCATGTGCTGCACCACTAAGCTATGACCCTTGCTCTGAGCACTTTCAGACCCTCCAAGTGTCCCTATTTTCCAGGGGCATCCTTGATTTAGAGAAGCTGCCCCAGTTTCGGATTTGATCCCAGAATGTCCCGCTTTCCCTTAGGATGTCCCTGTTTTCATTACAGAAATGTTGGACGGTATGGT